CTTTGCTGGACCCCCCCAGCAGGCCAGGGAGACCGGGAGAAGCTTTTCTCACCCCGGAGGACACGGGTGGCGACCCGCCACCCGTGAGCTCCGGGGCGAGAAAAGCCCCATTCATAAGTGCGGATCCGACATAAGTCGGATCCGCGTAAGTCGGGGACTGCCTGTACTTAACTTTATTATAAACAGTCTTCATCCTACACCATCTCTATGTAAAGAGGCTTAGAAGTAATCATGCAAATGTGTATGTTATTTTCATTGTTTTCTATTCCTCTAAAGCTAAGGCTATAAAATAATTTAGAAGAACTCCTTTTTATCCTGCAGCTGAAATGATTGTAGAGAACTCCCAGTGCCGATCGCGTCCCGCCTCCCAGCCACTCCCTCCATCCCCTCCAGGCTTCTGGGCTTCTGACGCGCGGTGGGAAGGAAGCCTGGTGGGGACGGGGGGAGTGGTTGGGAGTCCCAGCCACTCTCCCCACCCCTGCCAGGCATCTGTGCAATCACAGGCTCCTAGCGCCAGTCATGGCTCTGTCTTGCAGCTGCTCCCCCTGCCCATGCCAGGCTTCCGTCGGGTGTATAACTGGAAAAATCAGAAAATACAGGACATTGCACATGTCCGGTATTTTCTGATTTTTTTTACCAGCCAGACAACGCAAATACCGGACTGTCCAGTAGAATACCGGACACCTGGCAACCCTATTTGTGATAAGAAATTGGATAATCTATGTATCAAAGTTATGCCCTATCCTGTAATATACATTACTTACTTGAACATGTGCCATCTGGCATAAGCATGTAGCCATTGAGGCAATAACACTTGTAGCTGCCATGGGTGTTCATACATCTATGCTCACAGGGACGGGGTTTCAATCCACATTCATTCGTATCTGCAGAAATAATTTGAATGAAATGAATGCAGGGATTTGTATTAAATGCAGGGTTATAATGTTACTTCATGCCTTAAATTCCCCAAAGTAAAAGCACTTGGGATAGAAAATGATCCAACCCTTTCCAAGAGAGGAATTCAGCAGACCATCTGTGTGAGTGCTATAAAAACTAGCAAGGAGAGCCTGCTGCCTTTGACAGATTACAGTGGAATCTCTGGCAGACTGCAAAGGGGAGAGAGATCTGAAATTACAACATTTGCTAAGCGTAGGTTTTCTTATTCTAGCTAGAGATTTTAGTGCCCCATCTGACATCCATACAAAAATTTTAAAAGTGAAAACCAGTCAGTCACACAACATAGGGAAAAAGATAACTCAAAGATTTCACGGGACAGGCATCAACCATGATACCATGGCAAGCATGAATCTTTAAGGAGACAGAGGTGATCATATGTTTTAAAAGGAAACTGATACAGCTGACTTTTTTTATCAATGTTCTAAATTCAATTCTCAAAACCTAACCTGTCAATAAAATCTGAAAAGCAGAAGCACAGCGGAGGGTTCTCACTTGAGGAATATGGAGTTTAGGTTAGCTTACCCATTTTTTAAAAACTACTCTTGAAAAGGGCAAGAAAGGAACAATATTCGTTTTTAAATTTCCCAGTAACTAGTTTCTGCTGAGAAGGAAATCGCCTAGCATCTAATTCACCTAGAATCTAATTTACCTGGAGTGAAATCCAGTGCTGACAATACAGGCAACAATCCTATTGTATATGAACAGTACCTGGTTTTGTGACTTTCATAAACTGTTTGGCAACTGTCCCTCTTTCACTATTTTGAAACCTGTTTATCAAATACTCAAGAGTTCATTATAACAAAACACATCACTGCACACAGTCCATACATCATGTGTTTCATGACACAGTGATTTCAAAAAAGAGAAATCTCAGAGGGCTGAGCATGCTCACTTCCAGTTCTAATGGTCTCAGCATCTGTTCACGTGTCAGTGTGGCCTGTAGGCCAGAGGAAAATCTCCAGGCCATTAAGAGCAAACAGTCTAGTAGTGATACATCTGCAAAAGAATTTGTTAGCACCTATTCCAACAAAAAGAGGAAACATGATATTACTCAAAATGTTGGTTTTCATACATTTGAGACGCACACCAATTTGGAAATTAAAACTGAATTGTATAGTTACTATAATTTCATGTAACATACAAGATTACTGTAACACTGATAAACAGGCTTTTTTTTCAACTCAACAATGGAAATATTTTGCAAAGTTATTGTAGTGACTTAGGAGCTATTGTCTTTTAGGAATTTTTATCTTATGAGCTTCTCTTGAAAAATGGAACTTAAGTGCTTTTGAAATTTTTACCCACTGCATATAGTAAATTCACTATTTCCTCTGTAGAATCATTTTTCCTTATGTGGAAAATTCCTTATAAATAATGTCAACAGGGAAGAAAAATATAAATGGCTTTTCTGAAGGGGTTTGAAAATAACTTCAAAACATTATTTGCAGAGTTCTCAGATATGGGATTCATTTTTGTTTTTTGCAGACAGTTAAATATGTAAAGTTGACAGACTCCTTTTAATCTGGTTGCTTAACATTTTAAAGCAGAGCCCAAAACACTGAAAAAGCAACAGTCTCTGCAAAATTTTCAAAGGCACCTTGTAAACTTATGAAGCCAAACTATGCACTCAAGTTTCTGAATGTACAACGATGGATGTGCTAATTTCAGAGTTTTCAAATTCAGATTACAATATACAAACAAAAGTCCCAAGAAAATTGTTAAGTGTCTATCAATTCAGTTTGGAAGAAAAACTTGTGGTTAAGGAACTAGAATGGGATTTCTGAGTTTATTTCCTGGATTCTGAGTTCTTGTTTGTCCTTGGGCATGTCTCTAATCATTCTGCATCTCATTTCCCCATCCATAAAATGATCAAGATAATTTATTTAAATAAGATGCTTATACAAGATTCTAAGTGCTCCAACCTATAATATAATAGAAATCCAACAGAATGACAATAATTTTGAATAAGAACGTAGCAAGCCAATCTTGAAAACTCATTTCCACCCCTTAATTGTAGGGAGAAACATGCTTTTAGCTCTACACCCAAATTCTCACAAATGTATGTCTTTTGAAGTTTGCCTGGAAGGCCACCACATATGGGCTATTTTAGACAAGTAGGGGGAGCACATTTATAATGTCTCCTTTCTTTCATGTCTTTGGCTCAGAGTTTATTTTTACTCAAACACTATGCCTAATGCAGTGGGATCTTGATCAAGGCCTTTCGGTCCTACTGTACTATGAACAATACAAAAACTGTTTGCATACATCAGATACTCTCAGTGAGCAAAAATATAGGACAGCCAAAAACATACACTTCAAATCCCGGATGCATAAGCTGAAGAAAGGAAGTGTACAAGATGAGCTCAGAACACTGAATACTTGTTCTTCAATATCTTTACCGTATCAAATTTCATTTAAAGTAGAAGCATGGTCCAATGGCTTGGATTACAGTCTAAGACCCGGGAAACCTAGGATCAAGACTTTGCTCTGACACACACTTGGCAAGTTACTTAGCTGCTCTGTGCCTCAGTTCCCCATCAGTATAAAAGCGCTCATGTCACTGACCTGCCTTATAGGAGAACAGTCAGTGTAAATATTGTAAAGGACTTGGATATATAGAGCTGTAAGTACCATAGATAGATAAGTACAGTATCTAGAAGAAAGACTTTTTTTATAGGGAACAGATAAGTGGAATATTTTCACTGAAGACTACCTATTTGTTTTAGTTTCCATATTTATTCTTTAAGAATCTATAAGCCTAAGATTTACACTCAGGTATTTTTAGTAAAAGCCATGGATAGATCATCTGAAGTAAATAAAAATCACGGACCAAGACTTGTCCATAACTTTTACTGTATAACCTGACTAAAACTTGGGGGGCAGTCCTGGGGGCACTGCGGGTGCTGGGAGGAGATGGCTTGGCCACAGATGCTTTTGGGGGGGGGGAGGAGAGGAGTTGACAGAGGTGGTGTGGGCTTCCTACCTGGCTCCTTGGAAACAGTAACCTTCAGGTCCTAGCCCCAGCACCCCATGCTGCCTCTGAAGCCCTGAAGTCCTGCAGCTCCCATTGACTGGGAAGCATGGCCAGTGGGAGCTGTGGGCGCAATGCCTGCAGGACATGGGGTGAAGAGTTGAGCCCCCCGATAGTCACCGTCTTGCACCCCAGCCCTGAGCGCCTCCACACCAAAACTTGTGGGCGCAATGCCTGCAGGACATGGGATGAAGAGTTGAGCCCCCCGATAATCACCGTCCTGCACCCAAGCCCTGATGTTGGAGGTTTGTGTAGTTGAGACTGCTCCAGCAGTGGCCAGTGTGACTGGCCAAGAGCTGCTCAGGTGGCCCCCAGTACCAGGTGTACTGACCACTGCAGAAATCACAGAAAGTCATGGAATTTGTGACTTTCATGACAAACATGGAGTCTTAATCATCCATGACAAATCCATTCCTAAACCAGTTAAACTGGTGATAGCTGATGCTCCCCCACACTTTTCCACAGGGAGCTGACGACAAGGGGACAGGCACTCAATGATCAAAACCTCTTTTTTTGAAGAACTAGGAGGTGTACAAACCTTGATTGCAGGTTTTCCCTGTAAATCCAGGAAAACATTTGCATTTATTTGGCCCCACACACTCGCCATATTTGCACCCATGTTCACAGGTGGCTGGAGGGCAAAAGAGAGAGAAATTAAAGGTGTTATTGCTGAGGGTCAAAACATCTCTCCATCACCATTCAAAGAGTTTGCTGTGGCGGAGTGGGTGAATTGAAATACATAAGGCTGGCAAAGTTTGGAACTAAAATGTGCATGCTCTCAAAAAAAGTCTCAAACTCATCCACACTGGTTCATTTTCATAAGAGTGTTCATAAGTGTTAAACAACTGAGATATTTTCACTTTTTAAAACCAAAGATTAAGTTGTAATGTCTATGATATATAATGCGTGGGTCTGAGCTTTTTTCCCCTTTTCTTCTGAATTCCCCCTCACTGTCTTTTGTCCATGTCTCTTCCTTCCTTTTTCTACCCACTCTGGAGTTCCACTTACAAACTTCTCCAGAGAGCCTTTATTTCTATAGAATGCTGCTAAATTGTTGTCTTTTTTAAAGCCATTCCAGAACAACTTCAGGTTATTGTAGATATGAAAGGTCAGACTATCTGCCAATTGGTTTAGACCCATGGGCTGTGTCTAGACTGGCCAGTTTTTCCAGAAAATCAACCCATTGAAAAACTTGCCAGCTGTCTACACTGGCCGCTTGAATTTCTGCAAAAGCACTGACTTCCTACCGTAAGAAATCAGTGCTTCTTGCGGAAATACTATTCTGCTCCCGTTCAGGCAAAAGTCCCTTTTGCGCAAAGCTTTTGCGCAAAAGGGCCAGTGTAGACAGTTCAGATTTGTTTTCTGCAAAAAAGCTCCGATAGCGAAAATGGCGATCGGGGCTTTTTTACGGAAAAGCGCGTTTAGATTGGCACGGATGCTTTTCCGCAAAAAGCGCTTTTGCGGAAAAGCGTCCCTGCCAATCTAGATGCTCTGTTCCGAAAATGCTTTTAATGGAAAACTTTTCCGTTAAAAGCATTTCCAGAAAATCATGCCAATCTACACGCAGCCATGCAGTTTCATGGGGAACCAAATTACATGAACTGATGCTGATTTTTCCTGATGTGTCTGAACACATTCTAATTATGGGATCTGACCTGCCACCCAAGAATTACAGTGGCTGTCTGACACAACGCTCATGTAGCACAACACTGTTCTGTATATATACAGTAGTAAGATGTTTAAATGCTGCATAAGCTTTACTATTAGATGTTAAGTCTTCCCAGATGGATAAATTAATGACGTCAAGAGAGCTTCAAAGACATTTGTGCATCCTGGTATGCAAAAGGAGCAGAAATCTAGGCCTGGATTCTTGGGCCAGGTCCACACTGTGTAGCTGAAGATCAGCTTAAGATACACAATTCCAGCTATGTAAAAGTTTAGCTGGAGTCAATGTACCTTAAAATGAGCTTTGGAGCTGTGGCCCGGCTCACACCACTTCCCATGACTCCCCTTGGCTGCAAAGGATGAAATGGAGCCCATGGGAGCTGCGAGGCTTCATGGTCATGGCGCCAGTATATAAACCGGGACGGCCAGTTAAAGTGTTTCTGAAAGTGTTTCTGTGGTACAGGTCTAGGGGATGTGGCTTTTCCCATAATTAGCCAATTTGTCACAACTCTGTTGTAAAACTCCAATTTCCCCAGTGTTTAATAAGTTTCTTATGTTGCTACAGATCTGTTTATTTTCCAGAGGTGCTCATCAGATATTTAATTGAGAACTGGAGCACCATATCATGAACATGAGACCCCCTATAATATTTTACAAAAGCAGATATTCTCCAATATGACAGGTTCTTTTCATTTAAGGCCTAACCCTGCAATGCATTAATACAATTCCTGCTTAAGTCAGTGAGCTGTTGTTGGTTATTTGCATTGCCATAGCACGAAGGATCTCTAGATACGTAAGTGCGTAAAATGTATAGGCTCTTGTACCAATACTCTTGCATTGCCAATTAAAGCACAAAGGAACGCTATAGTTTAGAATTTGCCAGAATTATCACAGTGAATATAGATATCTTTAAGGTGTGTTTAAATTTGTTAAACATTTATTAAGATGTAAAGAAAATCCAAATAAAAAGTCGCACACTGAAGTGAATATAGATATCTTTAAGGTGTGTTTAAATTTGTTAAATATTTATTAAGATGTAAAGAAACTCCAAATAAAAAGTTGCACACTGTGAAATAGAGTATTTAAAAAGAAACTCATCTAGAGCAAGGAGCCACTGCATCTTTATTTACAATTAATTATTTATTTCAAATCAGAAATCTGCCAGGCGAAGAATTTAAAAAACTGGTGAAAAATGGACACCAATAAGAGGTTATCTGAGCGCTTTTTTGGGGAAGGGGGGGAGAGGAGGGGAAGTGACTACTGCATTTGCTCATTCAAATTACTTTTGCATACTGTCATTTTTACCTCTATGTATTATTTAGTGTCAGAATTAGGATTATACAAACAATGTAAAATTATTAAGGAATTACTCTGCTCAGGTTTTTTTTTTGTTTTGGGGGGTTTTTTTGGGGGGAAAGGGGTTAAATTGGCATTGTTATTTCAAAATCATATTACTACAAATAGGGAAAAAATACTTTTTGGTACCACTCCCTTTTAGACTGCACTCTAATTTCTCCAAATATACTGTGAATTGTTATTAAACCTCAACAGGTAGTCAATGCTAAGTTTATCCAGATAGCAAGTAGACCAGCCAAAAAATGTACTCCTAAAGTTCAAAATTCTGACTTTATTGTTCTTTGCCTGAATAGAGGTGGGGAGAAATTTCATATTGCTCTCTCTGCAGCAACTGTATATCCATAACAGACTGCATGCCTCCTAAAAGACCCTAATCCTTCATTAAGCCAACTTGCCATGGAGCAGAATACTGACTGGCAGAATAAGTTATATTCAGTAGGATGCGTTGCTTGACATTTAGTCGGGGTTTAGAAGGGTGAAAACTATTGCTTCTCAGAGAATCTGAAGACCAAGGATGCTAATTATTGGACAACATCTGTCTGTAAATAAAGTTTTAGTGGCTACAGTCTGTATTTTATTTTTTTATCTTGTTATAATTTTTAACGGCAATAGTGGTACAAGTAAACCCCATTTTTTATCTTTTGCTTGACGTCATCCAGGTAACCCTATTGGTCCTTTCTGGCCTTAAAGTTATGAATCCATTTCACTGGGTGGCTCTGTTTATCCAGTTCCGCATTTTTAAAGGGATTGTCTCTCAAACTTATTTTCATCCTATTCCTACAATATATTTAGTCCACACATGTTCTGCTTTTTATAACTTCTGGCAGACCCATAAGGAGCCACAATAGTTAAAAGCTAAGCACACAGTCATGAAGATATCAATGGTTATTTGCTGATGTTACCTTCACAGTGCCCTTTGTTCTTTCGCCAGCCATAACAGCATTCGAGCTTAGAACCGTAGCGACAAACCCCAGGCTGGCTTATAGTCATCAGCTGCTTGTGACTTCTTGAACTGTGCATGAAGCAAAAAAATTAGCTGCAGCAGAGGAACACTTTTTAATCTACCACCCCACTGCCTCCTTCGCATGTTTTAATTCAATGTCATCTCCCCCATCCCATCACACATTTGAATGTTGCTGATGTGCTTTACTGAAGCAGTCAGCAGGGTTTGTTGAAGGGATGCTGAGTAGATGGGTTGGGGATTTTCCAACTAACTGACAGCTTTTCGATTAAAATCGTAGAGGAGAAAGTAGGGCCAGATCAGTGAAGTTCCACTGACTTTTGTAAGCTGCGGGAGTCAATGGGGCTATTCCATTTTGCACCACATAAGGAAATAGCTCGCTGTGATTAATTCTATAATGCTAATTACCAAATTACAATACTAAAGGGAAAAAAATCAGTACTACATAAATCCTGAGGTGGTTGACATGCAGTGATAAATGACAGGATGGTTTGGGGGCTCCTTCCCCCTGCCCATTTACTTCCTCCCCCTGGCCTATTTTTCCTCCCACTTTTGTCCATAACGTCTTCTGCCATGCAGACACCTAGGTTTGCCAGGTGTCCAGTTTTGAACCAGACAGTCCAGTATCTGAGCTTTCTGTTCGGGAAACAAATTGAGACAATATAAATGAGAAAATATAAATGTCTGGCATTTTCAAAATAAGATGTAATGTAGATTGTGATGTAATGTCAAGTGTGTCTAGTATTTTAGTTGAAACCATCTGGCAACCCTACAGACACTTATACATGAAACTCCCTCCCTGACCTGAAATCCCATGCCTCTGCTTCCTTCTAAGTCCCTTTCTAATACACTTAGACAAAGTCTTTAAATATTAGTCATCCCTCACAGAAAATGTTGCTTCATTAGTGAGATTTCAGTAGCTTGTGTGGCTATTTACAGGGCAATTTGTGAGAACACACAAGTCCTATAATAAAAATAAGACTCATTAATTTTTTGTACTTCCTCTGCATCACATTATCTTCTGATGATAATGTCATTAAATGCCTTTTTACCCTGTACTGAGTTGTAATATAACTTATTAGAGCAACTACGGAGTTACATACTCATTGCAGGTTTCCAAAGCACTCATCCCCATAGGAATCATTCACATAAATTAAGAGAAAAATAATACTTCTAAAGGTAGGGAATAATATTTCCACTCAGCAAAACTGCCTTCTGAAATTGAACAGAGGCAGGCCAGCCAGGAGACAAGTCACCCAAAGAAATCCAAAATCTCAAAGTTATTGGAGAGTTGCATCTCACCCTGAATGAGACAAAAGCTCTGTAAAGTCTATTCTATATAAGTTTTAATAATATGCTCACACTATAGAATCTGAATGCCTCCCAGCAATGCATTAAGGCACATGACTCATCTGTTATGTGATGTTTATTCTCTCATTCCTTTTCCCCAAAGGAAGAAGCATGTGCAGTTAAGCGATAGAATGCAGGAGTGATCTGGGGGTGGAGAGTCTGGGTGGGAGAGAGGGTGTGGGAGGGGCCTGAGGATTAGGGCAACTACTAGGGATGTAAAGGAGGAGTCGACTAGTCGCCTATGCTTATTGTATAGTCAAGTTCACTACTCGCATTCCACCCCCCCTTGCTGCCTCTCTATCAGTAATACCTGTGCACGGGAAGTCCCAAATTCCCACTGGGACCCCCAGGCACAGGGGCTCATGCCAGGTGTGGGACAAAACCCTGCTGTGGTTCTGCAATTTAAAATGCAGTAGAAGCCGGGGGCAGGCTGCCTGGCTCCTTCTGCCTTTTAAATTGCAGAGCTTCAGAGGGGTTTGATCCTGCACTCGGCACGATCTGGAACTGAGCAGGGCTGCCTACTGACTAATCGAGTAGTTGATAAAAATTATATCGACTACTTGATTAGTTAAATACTCACATTTTAATATCCGATAGAAATGTAGCCGTGTTAGTCTACACTCTCTCAATGACTTAACCACCTGCATTCTGCTACAAAGACCTTTTACATCTGCACTTGAAAGGGAATCCTCTGAACTGTCATTCATGTTAAAATTCGACACTCTCCAAAAAGGAATGAACAAACACTCAGGCTATCTTACCCATTACCAAGATAGCTTCCCCAATACCATTACCATTAATACCTCTAATACCATTAACTCACAAACATCCCACTCTCCCCACCTCTAATATCATCAATTCACAGACACTTACCTTCCTTCCTTCCCCTCACCCCCTGCATTGCCCTCTTGTTCTGAAATGTGATTTGTCCTTTTCATATGTGTTCATTTTTTTAAATTGTATCCTTTGGTGTATATGGTTGTGACTATTTTCTTCAACTATTTGATCTGAGGAAGTGGGTCTGGCCCACGAAAGCTCATCATCTAATAAACCATCTTGTTAGTCTTTAAAGTGCTACATTGTCCTGCATTTTAATATCCATAGCACTTACCTGGCACAACTCTTGGGGCGGGGAGGGGGGGAAACACATGCATGCAACACCCCCAGCTACTCTCATCGTGTGCAATTCCCGGCCAATATGAGTGGCAAGGGTGGAGCCTGTAGATGACTGCTGCTAGCAGTGATGCATACAGCTCCATCTGCCAGTGAAGAGAGGGTATGGCAGCATGCAGAGCCCCTTCCTCCCAGGGCCCCTGGGCTGTAAAGCTATCTGTCAGAGGATCTTGCAGAATGGCCTAGTTTTGTAAGACTTGGAATTAATCCAGTCTCATCCCATAGCAATCTGATCATTGAAGAATTTCACCTTAACTCTGTCTTGCACTTCTTCCTTTTATTTATTAGCTGAAGTTTCTCACAAGACCCAATTCTCTTGGAGGTACAAGTAGCTGATGTTTCCCATTGATATCACTATACACTTGAGGTGGAGAAAAAGAATGTGCACAGAAAAAAATACTCTCATTGACCTACGTTACAGATAAACTTGTTTGGAAAGTGTCTTCCTTCAATTTGAAGTTGGTGGAGCTGTGCTGATTTACATTGGCTCTGCAGCTACTCTTAAATTTATATATAAAGAGATATGCAAAGGTACATTGAAAATGCATGTCAGGGTCTCAGATGGTTATTCCAGTAGGAATCAGTTCATTATTCCTAGTCTCCAAAAATTGGGGCTCTTTGATTTTTTGTTCAAAGTGAATCTAATCTTCAATATTGGAACAGCTAACCCCAGTAAAAAGTTATTACTATTATAATACACCTTCTAGTCCATATAAAACTTGAGTATTTGTGAAGTGCTTTGAAATGCATAGATCAGTGGAAGCTTCAGACAATCGATCATGAAAACTATAATGATACCTCTAACACAGAGGTAAATGGAGGCACATTAAGGTAAAGGTCAGACAGGAAGTGATTGACAGAGTCAGAAATAAACCACAGTAGTTGGTACCACTCATGTCAAAAGCTAACCTCTATCTCCTGAACCCCACTGGACAGAAACCATTCATGGCTTCCAAATATGTCACACACCTGAGACTAACTCTTAGAGAGGCTCATTCAGGAGAGGTTTTTTTTCTGACTTTTTGGACAACTTTTAGATGGAACATCTTCTGGTCTAAGTGTGAACAACACTCTACTTTAACTTCTTTCATTTGAAGGTGTTGGCTCAATGGTGGGTATTTTACACTTGAGCAGACAAACTGTCTTGTACCAAATTTTTTTCCATTTGAATTCTATATTGAGATTTTTATTTCTACACTACACATGAGCAAGCTTGAAATATACACACTTATAATTCTGTTTGACAACTATCCTTGTTTATAAAAAAAAGGCAGCGTTACAGAGAGGACATACCCTGTACCTAATTTTTCTGTTTGACAACTATCCTTGTTTATAAAAAAAAAGGCAGTGTTACAGAGAGGACATACCCTGTACCTCATTTCAAAATTCCCCTTATTTTGAAATAACAAGTGGAACGTCCACACTTCCAAGCCCGTTATTTCAAAATAATAACTCCTGCTTTCCATGAGGAAAAATGCTTATTACAAAATAGTTATTTTAAAATAGCAGAAGTGTGGACGCTCTACTGCTGCTATTTCAAAATAACTAATCCCAGAAGTCATTCACAGAAAATACTCCCCAGTGCTTCCTGGGGCTCTAAGTAGAGGTAGTGAATACACATTAAGGGAGCATGCCTCAGACTAATTTTGAGGTTCCCTGTAGTGTGGATAAGCTATTTCAAAATAGTTATTTTGGGAGTTGTTATTTCAAAATAAGTTATTTTGAAATAATTTCCTAGTGTAGACATGTCCACAGTAACTTAATCCCAATGGGTGCTATAAGTGAACGCATGGATTACAGAGATTTACAATGGTACTACACCCATGGAAAAGATAGACATTAACAGACTTGTAATTTCTTTGGGAAAGTATGGTACTCTGTATAAAGAAGACACAGTTTTAAAAAGTGGCTAATGTTGTGATCTATTTTTTTATTGTTGATGCTTAGATCCTAAGATGCAAACATTTTTTAACAAGACATGTTACTAACCTTGTCTTGTACCCAGCATAACAGGTGCTTGGCCTGTTGCAGAAGCAGTCAGGAGCTTTGGGTTGTATTTACTTCTGCAACTGACCCACATTAGACCTTCATCTCCTCCTGCCTCTTTTCTTATGCCTATAAGAATGTTAAGCCTGGAAGTTCTTCAGCATTCTCAGAAACTCAAAGCACCTCAAATCACTCGTTGCATATATGAAACACCAAGGTTGCATGTTTTAGAAAATTATACACCACAACAGATGCCTTTAGAGGCAATACTTCCCCATTCATATGCATAGAGTCCGAGTGTAGAAAAGAAACAGTTTAATAAAAGGAGGGAAGTAACTGGGTGTTAATTTGGGAAAACACCAGAAGTGGAGTTCATAAACTATGAGCAAAAGATCCACCTCCAAGTAATTTGAGCAGTATCCTTTTCCCCACAGGTTCTTAAGTCCAGCAACCCAAAAGTCCCTTTCATGTACCGGATAAGTAGAGGATCTACATTTCCCTTTGTTTAGCTCTTTCTCTTAAAGAATGTATAGAACCTCTTTATGCCCTTTGATAGATGTAACTC